AGCAAACAGATCAATAAACTGCAAATCACCATCTGCTGTTCTTCGTCACCTTGGTGAGATCAGTTGGAAGACAACAGCCATCAGAGGGGGGCAATGCCCACGCCCAGGGGAGCCAGCCTCTCCCGACAGGTGGCACATTGCTGTGCCCAGACGTGCAGCTGGCCGCGAGAGGCTGGGCAGAGGATGAAGGATGGTTCTATCACGTGGAGGAACTTATGGGTCACCTTCTTTCCAGCCGTGATCACTTCTACACTGGGTCCCTCATGGGGAAGGAGGGGTGATCACAGGAGACAGTTTAGCAAGAATGGAGCCGTCTCCTCACATTCAGAGATATTCCCCAGGAGGTTCTTTTCATTTCTCCATGGCCAAATGCTCTCGGAAGCCTCAAAGCCCCCACCCACACCCCGAGGAACTCTCTGGGAAAAACATGAATTATATTTTCACAGGTAAAATGAGATTCTATTAATTTAGCCTGTCACAGGCTCCACAAACTCAATACGGTGTCCTTTTCAAAGACAAATCAGAAGAAACATTGACCAAAGCGGATACGCTGCTGGTTGGAGCCGCAGTATCATTGTCTGACATACCCAAAGGGTTTCTCCACTTTGAGATCTGGGAGGTCACCCCTGTTTTAATAGGCTGGAGACTGGGAAGAATTTTAAAATGATCACCAGAGAAAAATTAAGGCTTTGATTTTCACCTAACAGTTTCAATGCTTAACAAATGCTCCCAGGCATGGTTTGAAAGGTTATGGTTGCCTGTCAATAAATTTTAGTGCATCTTTGTCAGGGAAGCCAAATTAGAGGAGTCTGTTAAGCGACAGTGCACTGACATGTTGAGTGTTGGGCCTGGGGGGACTGGGGAGCCTGGTATGGCATCCTTGCTTCTGGCATGTGGCACAGAAGCAGCACCCATGGTATGGGTGCCTTGTAATTATTTATATGGATTTCGCTTACTGGACAACAGGAATTGAGGACAGCTTCTGGGTCTTTACTCCCCTAAGGAAAACATAGTCTTCCCTCTGGGGATGTTGGGCAGACCTTGGATACTGCCCAGCAATTATTCATCTGCCCCACTGGCTGGGGGCTCTTGAAGGCAGGAGCCATACATTATTCCTCACTCTACTCCACACACCTAGAATAGGGTTTGCAAAAAGAGTGAACACATGTAGGAATAAATACATCACTAACAGGTTTAAATCCAGAAAGAGTGTGTGTGTGTGTGTGTGTTTAACCCAGAGCAATCTCAAGGTTGCTATTTAAGAATCACTTAGGCTGCTTGCTAATAGGTGAATTCCTGGGCTTTACTGAAAGACCACTGAATCAGAAGTTATAGGGTGGGGCCAGGGAATCTGAATTTTTCATCAAGTTCCCTAGGAGATTCTCATGCATACAGAAGTTTAGGAATCATTGCCCTAAATGAATTCTGCTGAGCTGGGTTCTAACCCTTATCACTTTCAGAAAAGGGGATTATGAGAATGTTCTGGGTTTTTGAGACCTAATAGTCAATTCTAGCCTGAGTTTCTTGGTAGCACATTTGGCAGAAGAGGGCGTTCCAGGTGGGGAAGCATCCGGAGACTTTTTTAGACCACGGAGCTGACCATCGGCCCTTTGGGAATCAGAGATGGGCAGCACCCCTGAGTCACCGGTGCGCAGGTGGGTGCATGGAATCCCATTTCAGCATGGTCCCTGAGAAGGCGAGCTGGGAGCGCAGCTCCTAAGAAGGTAAAACAGAGCTGGGCGCCAAGCTGAGCTGGGTTTCCAACCTGGGATGCGTGGAAGAGATTTCTTTATCAACATGCCAGCCAGGAACCACAGGCCAGGCTCCCAGCAGAGAGTGTGCGTACTGAATCAATTGAAATTGAGTCATGGATATAATTAATTTAATGTGTTTAAACGATTTTCCATATAGTAAACATACTGAATGAGGGGCACCCAGAATGAAGTGTCTGCCTGGGAGTGGAAGAATGGATGCTGTGTGTGCCGTATAATGAAAACCCTTCAGCAAATGGAAACTGCTTCAATTTATTTCCACCTCCCACGTTCCTTTCCTTTCTAACTCTTTATTTATAGCTCAACTTGGCCTTCTGTGGTCTCCTTGGACTACAGAGACACTTTTTATTTTGTCAGAGGGTGTCCTTTTCTCTGTGACCGGAAGACGATTTTAATGAAACCTGTCTACATCATGGTGACAAGCTCATATTAATATGTGACAAGGCAATAAGGAAGAAGGCAAAACACAGTGCAGAACTATTTCGCTGTTGCGATCTTTCTCACAAGAGAAGGGAGATGGCCCAGAGCGGGTGGAAGCAGGCCCAGTCCGGCTGCTGTCCTGGCTCTGTCAAATTGTCCTGCGGGTGCATTTGAAGGAATCATTTTCCATCTTGGACCTCAGACACTCATCTGCAGCGCGAGATCTTTAAGACCACTTTCAGTTCACATATCCACTGAATCATGAGTCACACACTGGAGCAGGCATAAATAGGCATCCAGGAATTTCCCATTAAAAAGAAACTCATCGTTGGGCCATGGGAGGCGTCTTAGGTGGTCTCATCTAACCGCACACCAAGTAGGGATTATGCATTATTCGGTTAGAGCAAAGGGAGCATTTAGAAGGGGTTATAAACGATCTCCAATGAGATATATTGGGCATCCAGGCAAAATGCCGAGTTCTGGGATTATGAGAGATGGCAAAATGCCTCCTAGATTCTGTAGCTCTCTATTCAACGTTGGATAGTATGAATTCATTCTACTAAATAAGACACAAAGCACGAAAAGATGACCTGAATTAGTGTGTCCAGGTTTTGAAACAGCCCTGCCACGACAGGGCCCTCAGACCTTGGGCAAATCCCATCCCTCTCTGAGCCTCAGTCCTTGAACTTGTGCAATTAGGTGAAAGGATTTTGGAGGTGTTTTGAGGAGTGCTCTGTCCAGCCTTTCTGAGGGAGGGGCTCAGGGGCTGCTGGTGGGGAGGGAGCTTCTGGAATTGGGGGCTGAGGAGGCAGGGCTCTGGGTTCCTCCTCTAACCGAGAAGCTTCTCTCTAATCTGTTTTATAATACCAGGTTCCATGTGAGATTTTATAACAAGGAGTTCTGAGGATAAAAAAGAAAAATTTTTTAAAGCTGCTGGTCGGAGGAAAGCTGTTAAAGTTTCCAGCCTGAATCTAGGCTATGCTGTAAAAACGGACTTTGCCAACAACTATATAGAGCCTTTGCTTCTGAACTGTGGGAGGAGGTACCCACAGCTTTCAGGTCCAGAGTGGCTCTACTCGGGAATGTCAGAAATCTACTACTTTTTTGCAAACCTCAGCACTTCCCCACAGCCCAGAGCAGTATTTCTCAAACTCTGGCATGCAGGAGAACCCCCTAGAGGGTTTGTTAAACCACAGATTGCAGATGGTTGGGCCCCACCCCTGGAGAATCTGATTCAATGGGCCTGGGGTGGGGCCTGAGAATGTGCATTCCTAACAAGCTCCCAGAGCATGCTGACCACACTTTGAGAATGGCTGGCCCAGAAGACAGCAGCCAGCCTCCTTAGCTCCAGAATCGGGCCCCAGCTTCCCTTCCCAGCCTTATCATCCACCTCCCCAATGTTCTGGCCCATGTAATTGTCGTCCCCTCACCCCCTGCACACCTCCCTCACTCACCATACCCCAGCTGGCCACATGCCAGCCCCCCCTCTGCTTGTCCTACCCACTGCTCAAGGCACAGCCCAAAGGCCACCTCTTCCTCAAAGCCTTCTCTGACTTTCTGTGAAAGGTCACAGAAATCTTTCTGGGCTTGTACAGCTTCTCCCACAGCGCTGAGCACTTCTAATCATCGTCATTGTCATTTTTGTCCAGGTCTTGCCCCTGTATCTGGGCCATGGGCTCCAGGACAGGAAGCCCACCTTCCCTTGGCATCCATGCCACTGTCCACACCCTTGGCACCAGCACAGGCCCTGGCTTGCCAGACCAACAGTGCAAGGCTGGGCACACTCACATGTGGATATGCACAGCCAAGAAAGGCGCCAGTCAGCTCATCTTGTCCACGCCTCTCAATTTCCCGGGACAGGCTGACTCTGCTCTGACTCTTTGGAACACAGGACAGCACATTAGCCCACTCAACCTATCTTCAGATGAACTGTCCCTATTTTCCGGGAGCAGAGTAACTGATACATCGTGAGACGTAACTAACTACCACATGGGGTCCATTACCAGGCAGTAGTGTAATATGCCAATTAAAAGCTGGACCCAGGTTCAAATCTCACTCGCCTCTGATTAGCTATACTCTTAAATGCTCTGAGCTCCAGGCTCCTTTCCTTTTATGAAGATGATAACAGCACCTACTTCCAATAGCATTTATTGAGTGCCTACTATGTGCCTAGCACTGGGCATACATTATTGAGTCTAAGCTACATAAAGTACTTAGCACAGTATCTAGCACACAATAAGCACTTAAGAAATAGTAGCCATTATTATCATTGCTTATTTTCCCAACTTCCATGCAAGACATATGTTATTATCCTCACATCCCAGATGAGAAACTTGAGGCTCAGAATAAGTAGCTTGCTCAACAAATATTAGCAAGTTGTACTGTGTAATAAGTAATCTTTATAAGTAGCTTGCAAGGTAGATATTATGCCCATTTTGTAAATGAAATTTTATAGTTCAAAAAAGGTAACTTGTAAGTAAAAGCCCGGGATTTGAACCTGACTTTGGGTCCAGAGCTCCTGCTGCCCCTCATACCCCAACCTGGGAAATTGTACTTGCCCTGCATGTGTGGTTCACTCCCTACGCCCATTCCTGTCCGTGAGTCATAGAGGAGCATTCCCCAACGTGTCCGAGCACACACACTGCCCTGACCCTTATTTGAATGGCTCTGCGAGCCTCTGGCCCACCAGAAGGTATTTCAATGATCCAAGAGAACAGACTGCACATCAGAAGCCATAGCAACCCCTCTTCTTGCCTTGTCCGTCTCCAAGGGACACTAAGAAAAACAGCCCAGAGGCGTGGCACTGACCGTGACCCCAAAGAAGTTGGTCTCGTTCATGGCGTTGAGAATGATCCTGCCCAGCGTGTGGTCCGTGTAGTTGAAGTCCTGGATGCGCTGGTGCCGGCTGCTGGCGTGCAGGGTCTCCATGGCCCTCTGCAGTGTCTTGGCGATGACCCAGATGCCATCGTAGGCGTACCCGTGGAACTTGCTGGGCCCCACGCCTGACCTCTTGTTGTTGTACTCTCTCTCATACTGCTGTGGAGTCTGGAAAACAAGGGGGGCGGGGGAAACCCAAGTTACAGCCCGCAGGACATCCGGTCCCGATGAGGAAACCGATTCAGAGAGGTCGACTTGCTTACAGCCACACAGCTAGTGAGTGACAGGGCTGCGACCTGAACCCTGTCTGTTTGGCAAGGCTGGGGAGAAGGGAGAATGCACCCTAACCAGGCCTCCCTGATATTTGCAGGGCCTGGGGCTATAGTACCCATGGAGGCCCACATGCCATATGTCTAAATATTTAAGTTATAGATGAGTGAACACTGTTCAATAAAAGATTTTCTATCTGTTCACCATAAAAAATATGCCTTCTTAATGATCTGGAAGGCCAAGTTTGAATTCAGAATTCTGGGGCTCCTCAGAGTTTCAGACTGGACACAGCAGCACATCGGAAGCTGGCCTTGCACTGTGGTCCATGCCCTGCCCAACCCTCCTCGCCCCAATCCACCTTGCAGCCTGGCCAAGTTCAGTCCACACCTCCTTCCCCTTCCAGCATCAGTGGCCCCCTGACCACTCCAGACACATGGCTCAGTCTCAAGAGCTGGGTCTGATCTGGGCAAGAGGCTCCCTGGGCCCTGGAGCAGCTCCAGCCATATGGGCAGGGGATTCCGGGCATGGCCTAGAGGCTGGAGGGGGTGCAGGCTCTGGGGGACTGGTCCCCATGGGCTTGTGGGTTCTGATCCCTGTTGGGCACCAGTGATGCCCTCTTAGAGCACAAGGCCCAGGCAGGTCCCAGCTGCTCAGGTATAGGGCAGCATCCATCCATCCTGCCCCTTCCTCTTACTTTCCATAATATAACTGCCTGAGAATAGCTCGGTACTGAAAAAAGGATTTTTTCTCCCATTGGGCTGAATTTCATAAAAGAATTTCATTGGTGATATTAACATTCTGGTTGTGGCCACAAAGTAATGAAACTGTTCCCTGGAACTTGCACTTTGAAATGAATGCCACCCCTGGGGCAGCCATTACCCTCTGCCTCTCTGTGGGCCTTTGTTCAGATCACTTCTGAACTTCTCCGCCGGCAACGTCATCAGAGCCCACGGCTTGGTCTTTGGAAAAACCGTCCTTGGAGACAAATCACACATACGAACTATAGGCTCATTGTCAGTGGGCACCGGAAAGGGCCCTTAGAGACAGTCGCAGATGCAGTCTTCTTCCTAAGGCACAGAGAGGTCCACAGACTTGCCCAAAGTCACACAGCTTATGTGTATACGTATAGCCAGACTAGCCTCCCATTCCATCTCTGCTATTTCTTTCATCTTTGACTTCCGAGGGTACAATTTCTTTTTGAAAACCTGGGGCCAGGTCTAGCACTCAAGCAAGGTGGTGGAGCTGGGCCATCAAAGCCTGGGTCTTTCCATGGCTGGAGCCCACCGGAGCCAAGAAGCCTGGTCTCTCGTGGGATCACACACAGGCGCCTGGGGGGTGAATGCCAAGTGCCTCCAACTGTGGACCATGCAGGCAGTGAACTCTGCCTGACTGAATGTGAAGGGTATTCTGAATCCACCTCCTTCTTTCTTGTTTCAGGATCCTACCGGAAGGCTCAGGTTTTATCCTTATTTTCAGTTTGCCTTAGAAATGCATCATCTCCAGCCATCACTATGCTGTTCATCACTCAAGCAGAAACTCTTCAAATCTGAGGGTTCTTTGAGGGGACTGGCAGGTCTCAGGCCCAGCTCAGTTCCCTGAGTCTGTCCTCACAGTCAATCCCACCCCTCCCGCACAGCACGCTCCTGCCCGCTGGCTTTGGGAACTCTGCGGTCATCCCGGGGCACGCCCGCTCCTCCTGGGGGAGTGGGAAACAGTCTGTGACAGGCTCTCTCTCCTTAAACATTGTGGGTCCCTCAATTACATCAAGGTCTCCTGCACCTCAGGGCTTTTGCACTAGCTGTTTCCTCTGCCTGAAAGCCCTTGGCATGATACTCAGTGTTCAAATGTCACCACCTGTCACTTCTCAGGGAAGGCTTCATTGTCCCACCCATTCTAAAACCTGGTGGCATTCTTTGTCCATCGGTTTCATCTTCTTTATTGCACTTGTAACTCCCTGCAATTTTCCCACTTGATTCTTGTCTGTTTCCACCCCCTTCCTCACCACCCCATTAGCATTAGACCCCAAGAGATCAGGGATGTGATCTGTCTTGATCACTGAGGTGGCACCAGAACCCCAAACAATGCCTGCACAGACCCTTTCTAGGCCTCAGCTTCTCCGTAAAACAAAGGAACATACCCATTTGTACATTGTAGGGTCAAATTATTCTCCCCAAATATAAAAAGTCATAATCCCACTGTGTATGAAAGTACCCATTTCCCTCCATCCTTGACAATAGATATTTTAATGTTTAACATCACTGCCAGTGTAAGAAAAAAGCATATTTTATTTTAATTTTAATTGGCATTTTCTGATTAATGATTAGAAGTACCAACAGTTTTTATTTTTTTAGGTGAATTTTCTTTTTATACCATATTGCTATGGTAACAGTAACATCTTTTAATGTTTTGTTTAGTGTATCCTTGTTATTTTTCCATCATTTACTACTTGGCTATATTTTCTTTGATTTTTAAATGTGATTTGGGTCTATCTCTCGTTTTTAATCCAGCTATTGGCCATTTTAAAAGGATTAAAAATTACTTGGATGTATATTTCCCTAGTTAATTGCTTTAAGCATAGAAGGAATGAAGCTCCTCTCACCACTTCTTCCTTCTTGGATTTTGCTCCTATGAGCTTTCTCTGATGCACACAGCATCTGAGGGCTGGTGGGGTCCCCCTCTTTGCATCCCATTTCTTCAACCTAATGATTATGTCCCTATCCCTCTTTCCAGCCTCTCTGAGCAGAACATGACACTGGGGCATCCTTCAAGGCTTCCATGATTCTCTTAAAGTAGGGGGTCCAGACCTGAGGTGAACATTCCCAGTGTGATCTCAGCAGGTGGTAACTGAGTGTAATTTTTTAACTTCCTTGATATAGTTTTTCTTTTCCTTTGTGGGGATAGTAAGGGGACCAAGATCAAGATCATATAGTTTATTTGGTTAGGCCTTGGGGCCAAGAAAAGCCCTCCTATATACTTTCCACATGTGCTACTTGTAAATCCATTCCTTTTCTATCTCATAAAACTGTTCTTCTTCCCAGGAATGAGGAGCAGGAGGGGCCTGAGGACACTGGAAATATGGCAATTACCACATTCCTGTGGGTAGAGTCATGGGAATGGGACACAGGTGTCGTTAAGCCCTGAAAGTTGACCTCGTTCTCACTTTTTTGGTAAACACTGAGTTGAAGTCGTTGCTACCACATTCTATCCCAGGCCATTCATCACTGTTCCCAGGTGACGCCAGCACCAATTTCCCTTGGGCAAAACAATGACAGCAGGAAGAAACACTCTCACGATTACTGGAGAAAAAGTAATAGTTATTCTTAAAGCCAGCTTTCAATTATTCAGGGCAGAAGAATCTTCCATTGTAAAGCTGACACTGAATGCTGATTAATTACTCATCCTCTGAGGTCAAGTTTATTGTGAGATGCTAAAACTTTCTGAGAAAATAACTTATATAGATAGTACCAATTACTGACAGGTTGTGCTCCAGCATATTTTTGAAAGGCAGTTGTTGGAACTTGGAACATATTTCCCCACAGAAACCATGTTATAAATAGTGGTTAGGCTCCCAGGCTAGCCCACACAAGCTTGCTAACCTACAATGTGACTAAACTTTATGGGTCTGTCATTCTGACAGAACCAAGCTGAGTCCTGATTTCTGGGAGAGGAGAAGGACACATACACTTCCACATCTCCAGCTGTTCCCTACAGGGGCAAAGCTGGCTGAATTTCTCTCTAGCATCCTTTGCGCAATGTTCAAATCACAGAGTCTCACTTGGAAGGTACGCTAGGGGACAGTTTGCTGGTTCCTATGCTTAGTTTGTAGATCACTTGGGTAGCTTGTAAAAATGCAGATGCCAGGGCTACTCTTTGTTTTAGTATGTCAGTAAGTGAGTTAAGTATCTGTATTTTTTAAAATCTTCTCAGATTTCAAGTATATACAAATTGGTAACCATTGATTAAGTCACTCTTACCATCTGATTATTGGATCTTCTCAATAGCAACTTCCAAGTGTTTGCTGAATTCTTTCTTAGACTCTTCCAATGTTGGGAAGCTCACTGTCTATTCAGGCAGAGCCTTGTACTTGGGGAATGTCTGATGTTGAGACTATATTCTTCCAGATGCAGAGTTTACATCTCTCTCCCTATAACTTGTATTTAGCCTACTACATCTTTTGTGGAGCCACAAAAAACATGTCTGCTCCCTCTTCTGCATGACAGGCACTCAAGGAGTTGAAGACAGGGACATGTTTCCCCTTTCCCAATGTGGCATTCTCATACTTTTAAGCTAAATAATCTAAGTTCATACTTCCACTCTGACTATAATGAAAGAACTTATGTCAGACCAAAGCTCCCATCAAGAACATTTAGAAAAACAGAATAAAATATAAAAATAGTTATTTAAAGGCATCAGAAAGTAACTGGGACAGCAAGAACTGAGGAGCCAACATTCTGGCAAGGAGAGTAATGCTTGAGATGGGCCCAACATTCTTTGCCATTTTCCCCTTGATCATTTTCTGATTTGGAAGTAAGAAGGCTAGTTGCAGAAACTTGAAGCACAGAATCAGAGCTTTCAGCAGTCCCTCGGGCCAAAAATTGTGGTTCAGGGCTACAAAGGTAGCAAGACTTGCATAACCAACATCCAAGAGGAGAGGGGGCCATGACAAAATGAGCCTAGTATTAAGATTGGCATTTGCACTTAAAATATTTGATAAGCTGCACAAAGCAAGGGGCTGAGAAGCCAACCAAAAGGGCTAAGAAAACAAATAGAACTGTTGGAGTTTCACATTATTGGAAAGACAAAAATTAGAGTCCAGAGCCAATAAACACTCCAGGATTTCAGTTGAGAACATTGAAGGATCAAACACTAGGAATCAAGGCAAACCAAAATACACCAGG